CACTTGCCCAGGCCAGGCTGCCTGAAGACAAGGGTGCCTCCCGAGTCAGTAGTGAGCCAGCCCCAGGGCAAAGGGGGAGGTGACCCAGGAAAAACTGGCCTGGGTGGAGGGGGATGTGGCCAGGTCAGGAGAATGAGTTAACTTGGCCCCAGGCCTGCAATTCTCATGTGGGCAGGCCTGAGCTCTTATGAAGGAGGAATACTTGGGAACCAGAACCCTGGGTGTGGCCGCATCTTCCGGAACCTGAAGTGGCTCCTGGGGCTCCAGTGACTACAGCAGGGGCCTGGGTCCCTCCTCTCCCCCCTTCCCTAGTGAGGCAACATCAGGCCTGGACAGTCCCCATGTGCCTTTCTCCTCTGCCCAGCTGGTGATTACCATTGGGGATAGGGAAGATGATGTGGTCGTCAGTGAGGCCCAGGGATTTGATGAAGCTGATGAAGATTGCCTTCGGTACAGAAGGCAGGTCCTTGTTCCTCCCTGTGGCCAAGATGGCTGGTTAGTGGCTGGTGAAAGCTCCATAATGATTGTCGAATGCGTGAACAAAGACTCAGACCCCTTCTTCATGAGGGGTTCTGTGGAAAGACCTCTCTCCCGCCTCCCTAGGGCTCAGAGTGAAGGGGACCTGGGGGCTGGATACGATGGGCCTCTTCTCCCCCAGCATGAATAAGAACCGGGTTGCACCAGGTGTAAGACCCACCATAGAGGATGACCTTGATGTACTCCTGGTTGTCATGAACTTTCTTGAAGTACAGTATGGCAAACTGGTTGTAGTCTGTGGTCACCACTTTTGAAGTGTAGTTCTGGATTCCAGTATAACCTGCATGGTGGATGGTAAGGGATCAGCATGCCCTGGCCAGGCAGAGGGAGCTATTGATTCCTCCTCGGACTCCACTGTTTGGCATCTATGTGGAGGGGCAGGGAGGTCCGGGGCCCCTGAGATGCACACCCCACTCAGGACTCACGCTCAATGTTGCCCAGGTTGAATTGGCCTAGATGCAAATTTGGGAGGAAAATTTTGGTCGAGGGATGACAGGTCTGGTTCCTGTGGAAGCAAGAGATGGGTGGGAAAGAGGGTGACAGCCCACCCTGCCACAGCAGGAGACATGCACCCCACCCCTGGAATTGGCCTGGCTCTTCCCCACTGAGCCCATCCCTGCCTTTCCCTGCCAACTCTGCCCTGAGTCACCTGACCTGCTCAGACCCTCTCTCCAGCACTTGCTGTCCTTCCTTCTTCTGGGCTGTTTCCCCTTGGTGGCCTTCCCTCTCTACTGTCTTCCCCCACCTGAGGAATTGTTCCCCCTTTTTTAAAACTTTTTTTAGATATACATTAATTTTTGAGAAAGAGAGAGACAGAGCAAGAGATGGGGAGGGACAGAGAGGGAGGAAGACACAGAATCCAAAGCAGCGTCCAGGCTCTGAGCTGTCAGCACAGAACCCGACCCAGGGCTCAAACCCACAAACCCTGAGATCATGACAAGAGACAAAGTTGGACACTTAAACAACTGAGCTACCAGGTGCCCCTGTTCCCTATACTTATCTTGCAGGCACCCGCTGTAACCTCTCCTGGGGGGAATCACCACTGAGGCTCCAGTCTGCTGGATGCCAAAGACTCCCTTAGCTGTTGGGCTAAACCTGACCTTTCACCTGCATCCCATCTGGTCCCCTGGCACCCCAGAGCCAATCTCCCCACACTTGCCTTTCTTCTGTTCCTTCCATGACCGATGCTCTAGCCCCATCCCCAAGTGCCAGAGCCAGAAACCCAGGGGAGCTGGGTAATCCTTGGCTCCCCTCTCTAGGTCCTAATCTGCCCATGCTCTGGTCATTTCCCTCTTATGACTGATAAGCCTCCTGGGCTGCACACCATCATTCCACTCTCTGCTACAGCCACACCTGCTCTTCACCAGTACCTGAGGCTCCTGCTAGGGTGGCCACCCACCGGCCCCCCACCAGACTGCTCATCAACTCCTGTTCAGGGCAGCCATGAGATGGCTTGCTATTTCTTGAAGAAGTGGCTCTCTCTGACTCAGTCCAGCAGCCCTGCCATAAAGGTCCCAGGTCTCCTGATGCAATTTGGTTTCTCAAGGTCCAGCCCACAGACCACCTCCCTGGAAGCCCTGGACAAAGCTCAAGGTGGGATTCCAGGCTGGATCCACCGACCCTCCTCCCATTCTAGGACACCCCAAGCTCTCTTTGTCTTGTCACTGATGATCGCTTTTGTCCAACCGCAGTACTGTTTTGTGTCTGTGCTGAAATGACCAAGAAATGTTGATTTAGTAAATGAAAGAAGGAATAAATACAGGGAACCAGTACCCAGTGGTAGGATGAATGATCATCTTTCACCTTTGGTCACCCCTTGGCTATGTCTTCAGTATGCCTCTTGGACTCCCAGGGCAGCCCTCTAGGCCCTACATGCTCCCCTACTAGCTGGTGGCTCTCACCAGGCCACAGTAGAGGTGACATTGTAGCTGTTGTCTTCATTCAGCTCGTAGTTGGCAATGTACATCTTCATCCTCCTGTGCTTTTCTTTATTGAATCCGTTCCCTGCCAATCCTAAGAAGTACCATTTCCCCTGGAACTACAATGGGGGCTGATAATAGGCAGAGCCAGGAGCAGCCCCAGGGGGCCCTCCTGCTCCATTCCTGCAGGCACCTCTAGGCAGCCTGGGCCTCAACCAGAAGCCCCTCTAACTGGGTTGCTGGGACCCAGCTGGCCACACAGGCTGGGCTGATGAGCCTGGCAGGAGCTGGAGACCATTAGGCCAGGCAGGAGCCCTCAGTGTGTCAAGGACAGGGTAACACTTGACAAGTGGCCAGCTGGCATTCCTGAGCCTCAGTTTCCTCATCATGTAGAGGGCCTGAAGATGTT